CCAGCTTCTCAGATTATTTGCTCAGCATACAGGTTGAATAAGTATGGTGAAAGAATACAACATTGTCGCACACCTTTCTTAATTTTAAAACATTCAGTGTTCCCATGCTCTGTTCAAACAACTGCTTCTTGGTCCAGGAATATTTGGAGGATTGGAGGGCTTACAGCTAGGGGAATTTGTAGAAGAATCAAGAAATCCATTGTATTCTAATTCAAAATGCTCAACTATTCCTGGAGCCGCCATCTTAGGATAGAACATCTTGATTGTATCAGGATTGATATCGAAATTTAAAGTGACAGTTTCGACATAAAACCAAACGGCCACCACACATCTGTCTGTCGTGCTGCAGTGGCTTGAGTTGCTGTGATTCTGAGGGCTATGCCACCGGTATTTTAAATCACCAGCAGAGTCACCCATGGTGGACAGGTTTCAGATGAGCTTCCAGACAAAGACAGGCTAGGAAGAAAGAGTGACGAACTACTTTCAAATCATTAGTCACTGAAAACCTTATGAATAGCTACCAAAGCTAGGACTATATTAAATGAAGCTATATAAACTTCCTGATGATCCATGAAGCATTATAAAAATGCAAAGCATTATTAATACGTTAGTGCAGTAATTATGCCTAATGATCAACTTTCCATTTATAGTGGTTTGAGTCCACGATTCTTTCTACCACTATATAACATCAGATAAAAGTAGTGGTTTTCAAACATTTCTGTTTTGTTTGTTGATCTTAACTTGGATGTCTATGAAACAAAATCCCCAAATAAACCTAAAAAGAGTGTGAGGAAATATCTATTTTGTTCTTGGACTAGGAAAAGAGAAATAAACAGCTCTCTTAAGTCTGAGGGAAGAAGAATAGAAAATGTTGAAAGCTGATGATGTAATCAGATATGAAACTAAGAACAAAAATCGTTATGATGACTGATTATTGACAAAATCAAGGAGAACTGATATGCTAGTTTAGGCCAATGAAATTTGCCTAAGGTGGACTTTATAAAAGCTCTTGTTTCCATCCACAAATAGAAGGGGTACTAGCACTCCCAGCTGTATCCCCTTATAAGTTTCTTCTTCGTTCCCAAAACTACCCCAACAATGAGAAACCTTGGCCCTCAAAAGAAAAACTAACATGCTCTTTTTTTTTTTTTTTTTGCTAGTGTAGTAGTTCTTTTTTTTTTAAAAAAACGTTTTATTGTGAATTATGTGATAGTTTACATGGGAGAACATTAGCTTTACATTCATCCTGTCGTATATCGTTTCATTGCCATGGTTAAAATCCCCTCCATGCATCATAAACCAACCAAAGGGTATACCCTGCAAGCCTGCCCCCCAACCCCCCACCTCCGGTCTTCAGCACACAGCCCCTCTCCCTCTCTAGGTCTAGAGTCTCCAGCTGCTCCATCTCTCCATGTCATCATCTCTGCCTCCATCTCTGGGTCACAGCTTCTCTGGGTAGGGATCCGCACTCTGCTCTTCTTCCTTGATGGTCCCAGGGACCTCCACTCCTGGACTCCAAAGTCAACCACTCCCCTTCTTTTGCTACAAAATGTCTACCTTTACATTTCCAACCCTCAGTCAGTCCTGATAACAATTATTCACTGTAGTACCACAAAAGACCTACTCCATCTCCTTTCATCAGCCCTGCCCAGACAGATTGAATACTACCTTCCTCCAGTGGAGATTCTACCTTCCTCCATGCCCTCTGGATCTAGGCTCCCTCTTGAAAGCTTGTAAGCCAGTCACGTCTTGCCTTTATAGCCGCCCCACCCCACCCCCCATTTTGAGTAGCCAATGTCCAAGTTGTCTATCCCTGTCTACTCTGTGTATGGAGGGGGTGGGCGTGATCCTCACTGTAAAGATTTGTTCCCTCTTTTTAGCTACTACATCCACAAGAATAGGTCAAGTTCATCACATTGTATCAGATGACTCTTTTTTTCCTCCTCTTTCTTCTTCTAGTTGAGCTCTGATTATCCAGTCATTGAAGCCAGACCAAGTGGGTAAACCTCTATGCTCTTATAATCACCAGTTCTCATAAAACACTAACCAATACTTAATAGTTTTTGAAGTCATTTTTAGATTTACTTCCTAGTTTTCATTAGATGCAAGCTAAATTTTTGGAGCTGCTTTGCTGTTGTTGTTAATTGGTAATACTAGCTATAGCTATATGACCTACTTGAGGAAACTATTCTAAATAGGCTTTCTCTCAGCCTATTTATCTTATACACAATAGCTTCAACATTGAACTAGTTTACCATTATTCTAATTCTAACATTTTCACTCAGTGAATTCAAGCAGCAAGAATATATGCTATGTGGTCTGGCTGGTGACCACACTGGTCACCCATAAGGGGAAGTGGGGGAAAAACAGCAATGATATTGTGAGCTAAGTCTGACCATGTTCAATAGATTCCTGTGAACCCAGGTTGAGACCTGGTTGGCCAGCAGTATGGCAAGA